TGGCATTACGCCATCGAAGAGGCTACCCCTCAAAAGCCCCCTGGCCTGGAGCCTATTGCAAAGGCTCCGCGGGGGTGTCACTTGATGTGGCACCCCTCCAGGCCGCTGGTGTGCGATTTGCCCTCCTCCGTTGTGAGGAGAGCATCCGCCATCGCTGTTCCATTGACCGGAAGTCAGGAGATATTTATTATTAACCAAGCTGATAGCTTTCCATGAGGAAGTCCAGCTTTCATTCAATTGGGAAACGTTTCCCACTTTTGCTTATTTTTGCTTATTATTAATGTAGATAGGTACATATATGCCTCCACTCCAATGGTGGAAACATAATTCTCCACAGACTGTAAGACTGACTATCTAAATAACCCTCATTGCTGAACTGAGGTTATTTACCGCTCTACAGTTTCTTTCCCATCTACAAGAACAGAATTGTATAAAGTTCATTCTGGTGAAATAGGGTCAGCCTCTTCCCGATAATATAGAAAACATGGCTTGTGAAATATCCCACGTTTCACTTAGATTTATCAGTATAATAATCTACTTGACTTAAAATGTCACTGAATTCAATTATCTGTGATACGCCGTATCCTACACATTCTTTCATAAGAATATACTTGATAGAGATTGTAGAATTTAGGTGGCCTCGAACAGATTCCTGTATTATTTCGGATTTAGGGATTGATGGATCTTCATCAGCCTTGGGTGGCTCAGAAAGGGATATTTTTTTGATTACAGTAGCTTTAGGAGTCGTGAGAGGGAGGATACAGGGGCACAAAATGGGATTAAAAGAAATCCTGTTATTCATTCTCCCGCACACAGAAGGGGAAGTCTGTTGCTCAGATTTTCAGAAATGTAACAAATATAGCACGTACTATAGATAGACTGTGCAACTAAGAATGCTGGTGGCTGACACCTAAGGAAATGGGAGAGAAAGGGATGAAGCATATGGCTGCATATGCCCTCAGTTTTTGACTGGTAGAATTTTAGCAGACTATAAGTATTTCTCTTCCATTTGTTGCTAAGGTACCATTCTGTGGGGGGGGGGGTTGACACAAAATGCCTCCAGGGTCCTGCCAGACCCCCAATGTATTGGTTCATAGTGTCTAAAGTTAGTTGTAACAAGATTGCTCCCATCTGGCCTTTCATCTTTGACCTACAGTGGAGCAGCTTACAGAATAGACTAAGAAGCTTATTGGTCTATCTGGGGAATCTGCATTCATGGCAGTGGATCATGAGCATTCATGAGTGGATCATCCTTCAATATTTCAAGCTACACCGCATGATGGACTTATTACGTTAATGCTCCGTGTGCTTAAATATTTTATGTTATCTACTAACGTCATGGGGGGGGGGAGGTACAGGGGGCCACAACTGTTTTGCCACAGGCTACCTCAGCAGCCATGTCCATTCTGATGACTTGCCCATTTGTGGCAACTATCGTTCATCTTCGTGGCTTCTGTGCAGTTCCACACGGGACGGCGCAGGTGCAGGCCAGCCACAGATAAGAGCTGACAAGCTTTTAAAATTATTTTCTGGAGCCCAAGCATGTTCCCCCTCCCCTCCCAAGAATTTTCCCCACCCATTTTGTCAGTTGACCAGGAGGGGGAACACGCTTCCCTCGGTTTTCTTTCTTGCCACCACAAGGAGAAGATGTGCTTCAGCAGGTGTAGTGTATTCAAAGCTGCCTTGAATGCATGAAATGTTGTGAAACATCTAATTGAAATGTAATGTAAAGCTTCGTCCTGGGCTAGGATCCAAATCCATCCAATCATGTTACTAGCCCAGGAAGCACCTAACCAATCACTTTCAAGCAAGCTCCCTGAGCAGGAATATCCGTGATTGGTCCTTATGTGAACAACCTTATTGGTTGGTATTTGTACAGTGGGTGTGGCTACATTAGCCGGGAATGTTTAAAAGCAGGACAGCTGCAATGTAAAGGCTGTTCTGGCTATCTGATGTTGATCTGTGTTGGAGTTGTGTTCGAGTTGAAGAATAAAGTTGTGTTCTTGCTGAATCACTCTCCAACTTCTTTGTTAAGCGAGTGACTTAACAGCAGGCTTGTGTGTATGAGGTCCTGAGGGAAAACTATTTTCTCTCACAGAACAAGATGGCTTTAAAATGTAAGGACTGTGTTGACAAGATGGCACAAAACGATTAATATCAGTCTTGTTTGTTATCCATGGGTGAAACCCATAATATGACCACCTGCTCATCTTGTAGACTTCAGACACTGAAGGCCAGGGAAGGCAGGGCAGTGCATCTGAAAGTGACTCTGTGCGAAAGAGCTGCCCAAGTTCCATATCTCCTCCGATAATGACCAGGAGAATGGTGAAAAAGTGTCCAGAACCCCTTTGGTCGTTTCTGTGCTGATGCTGCCCTCAAAGCCACTAGAATCGTCGGCAGTTGTTTGGGCAGATTCGGAGCCTCCTGTCGGCACTGAGTTCAGAATGTAGAGTTGGCCTCTACCTGTTGAGGGCAGGCCAAAAATACATTTATGTACTGCTTGTGGCAAGATGTCAGTGTGAGGAGCAGCTCCTTCTCTGGGGGTGGGGGCAGTTGTGGGAACTATACATTGCCTTTTCTCACGAGAATAGTATAGAAATCTATTTTTTTGATCACATCTCTGCTCATGAAACCACCTCGACTAGGTTGTCCATTCACACAGCTACCGAAGATGAATGGAATAAAACTGAAATTAGTCAGGAAGGTTGTGAAAGGGGAACACAGCTCCCAGTGGCACCACAGGATAGCCACAGTTTTCTTAGAAAAAGGGATGATGGAAGAAGGATAGAACGCTTTTAACAGTGAATTAATAGTTATGGACATTGGGCATTTGTAACCTTGGCTTTGTAGAGGAAACAAAATTCTAAAACAGTGTACTTGAAGAGGTAAGTTGGACTGAAGATCTGCCAGTAAACACAGTTGAAAGTTCATTAAATCAATAATATATACATTATCAACCGTTTGCATATAGTTTGCATATATGGGGAGGGGCTGTGGCTCACAGGCAGAACATCTGCTTGGCTCGCAGAAAGTCCCAGGTTCAATCCCGGCATCTCCAGTTTAAAGGATCAGGTAGCAGGTGATGTGAAAACCTCTGCCTGAGACCCTGGAGAGCCACTGCCACTCTGAGTAGACAATATTGACCTTGATGGACCAAGAGTCTGGTTCAGTAGAAGGCAGCTTCATACATGTTCATGTGCATATTGGGAAAGAGGAGGGGAATTACTAGGCCAAGTCTGATGAATAACAATTTATGGCCCTGGTCACACGAGCCGGATATTGTGGGGGGGATACGTGGCTATTTGCCCGATGCAGTTTGATCCACAATTATGCAATCAGACGCGCCGGCGGCACACCACGGGTGGCGGTCACACAACGATCCTGCAGCACGGCAAAGAGGTGGCGCGGTGCGATCACACCAGCAATGGCTAGGCGCGGCTGCCGTAACAAATGGGGTCATTTATTTTTTTAAAGATGAAACGGCACTTTCGCTTCCCTCTTTGTGCGCATGCGCCGTTGGGTGCTTGTGTGCATCTTGTGGAGACTTGGGGGGAAAAAACCCTGTTTGTGAAGGGACATGGGCAGGTGCCGGATGCCACCACCGGAAACACGATCAGACGCCAGCCCTTGCCCCGTGGTTTCCGGAAACTAGTACCTCAGAGGTACTAGTTTTTAACTCCGCATCTTCGGCGGGAAGCCTTGGGTTCACCACAGGAGCTCTACGCTTCCCAGATGTTGCGGTGTGATCGTGCCCGGAAAATCCGCCTATCTTCCGTCCCTCTAGCGTGCCTAATGCTCCGTGTGACTGCAGCCTATAATTCAGATTCAAGACCTGGCTCACTGAGTTGGTGCTACAGTGTCCCAGAGTGATAGTAGGTTCTGCTCAAGGCCTCCTGGTAGCATCTCAGTATTTACCTCACCTTGAGCATATGGGAGGTAGTCCCGTTTCCCATCCATTTAAAGACCATCTTGTGAACTGTATTCTGCAGCAGCAAACTGGGAGCCAGTTTGGTGTAGTGGTTAGGGGCACGGACGCTAACTGGGGGAGAACTGGGTTTGATTCCCCACTCCTCCACATGCCGCTGCTGGTGTGACCTAAGGTCAGTCACAAACTGTATTCTGCAGCAGCAAACTGGGAGCCAGTTTGGTGTAGTGGTTAGGGGCACGGACGCTAACTGGGGGAGAACTGGGTTTGATTCCCCACTCCTCCACATGCCGCTGCTGGTGTGACCTAGGGTCAGTCACAAGTTCTTTCAGAGCTGTTCTCTCAAGAGCAGTTCTTGAAAGAGCTCTCTCAGCCCCACCTACCTCACAGGGAAGTCTTTTGTTGGGAGGGGAAGGGAAAGGAGATTGTAAGCCGCTCTGAGACTCCGAGTGAAGGGTGGGGTATAAATCCAATCTCTTCTTCTTCCAATTGGATAGCGATTTTTGCAGTCTCTTCAGCTCATGATTCTGTAATTCCTCTCTAGATGGGACATGGTTGTGGTTTCCAGTTTCCATCATTCTTCCGCAAGGTGGATTTACTTCTCTTCTTATAGCTTTTGTCCTGGTAACATCATACTATCTTGGCCTTGTACATGATACATCAGATGTACTTTAGGGAACATGGTACAGATTCTGCAGATAATCACTGATCCATGTCAAACATTAATATAAGTGTGCCTTAAGATGAATGGGAATAATTATGAAAACATAGAGGGAGAGATGGGGCTTTGAGCCTAAAGCCGTACCTAAGTGGTATACAGCAAATTGACTTGCCGAAATGACAGTTGTAACAAGCCTAGAAGGTAGCACACACAACCCTCTGGTGATTTTTTGTATCCCCTTAAAGCTCTATAATTATGATCCTGACATTTTGGGATAATTGAACATCACGGTCTTCTTTTCTCTTGCACCTCTGCTTTATTTTGGTACCTTTCCCTTTTGGCGGCTATTAGAAGTATTTCCCACAAACACTGAAATGTCTTTTCCTCTGACACTTGCTGTATTTCCACTTGCAGTTGGCAACGTGGGACTCCGAGAAAGGACTGAACGGCAGCCTGCAGGAACGACGCCTGGGCAGCGACTTACAAGGATTAACACTGAAAGTGGTGACTGTCTTGGTATGACCATGTTTGAGTTGAGGAAGCAAAATGCTCAACAGTGATGCTCACTAGTGGGGTGCATCCAACTGTCTTTTTCCTTTGTGGAGCAGGCTTTTCCCTCTCACTGTAGACCGTTGACCCTTCCCTCCAATTTTGTTCCTGGAGGTCAACAGACCCTTAGAATCAGCTTTGGGGGCTAGTTAGGATCTGCAGTGGGAGAGCAAAATCAGTGGACATTGCTGCCCCCTCTTCCGAGGAATACAGCCTTTGGGGCTGTGTAGTTGGATATACCCCACTTTTACTTGTTTTAAATCCCGTCTTTTATTCTCCTCCTATTAAAGGCTTCGCCTCTTGTCTCCTGTAGCATCATGTGTCACTTAACAAAGCAAGAGTAGAGTTTTGTAGATCCATTACTCCAGTTTTTGCAACAGCTGTGAGATCTGTAGACATCTAGGTGTTCTGAAAGTTCTGTCCATATGCCATGAAACCAGGGGCAATTTCGCACTAGAGTTGCCTCGCGGCGCAGCCGCCGTTTGCCCCAACACAAACATGTTACTTTCACACCCGAGGCTGCGGGGCTGCATTTTGACTCGCGGCTTTGCCCGATTTCCTCCGCAGTTTCGTGATCCTGGTTTTTGGCAGCTCTAGTGCAAAATCGCCCCAGATGAAAAGGAAGCCCTGGAGACCTGTACTTTTAAAAGTGGTACAGAAGAGAGAATTTTAGTCGGTACAACTTTTCTTTACAATGTGTTCTACCTACCACAATTCCTCATTCTGTGTTAAAGGTTCAGGAGCCCTGTTCTCCTTTACATTTGGATACTTATGCAAAAAGATTTCAATGTGTTGTGCATAGGTCTTGATCGTTTTATTAAGGTGTCAACTGCCAGTATAGCATTCAAGTTTCATATTGAACCCTATCACAAGACTGAGTGCCAACAAATGATTCCAGAAATGCCTAGTTAGTAAAAGAACATGGGTGTTGTGGATCTACCCTACACAGATGAATTAATGAACCTGTGTATTATTGAGCTGATTCTAGACATGTAAGCTCTCTGGAAGGCTGCTTACGTGTCTTTGTTTTGCCCAGAACTGAGCCTGCGGGCTACCTCTTCTGTTGGTCCAGGACTTCTATGGGGAACACCTTCAAATCACAAGTCATTTTTCTCATTGTCTAAGCTGAAGCAGATGGCCGTTTGATGTCTGAACCTGCAAAGCAGGAGTGGGCTAGCTAGCCATGCAGTACTGAAATTTGTGCTGTTTACAATCAATCCTTTTCTCGCCTTACTCACCTCAGTACAATAAGGCACTTACGCAGCACTTACAGGCACTACAGGCAGATTTACATTACAGTTTTATCAGTGTTACGAAGAGCAGTGCCAAATTCCTATGAGTTTTGATTTATCTGTCAAAATTAGCGTGTTCTCTGAGGGAAAGCCTTCCATTAAATCGCCAAGCAAATCTCCTTAAAGTTGGAAGTGTTTCTTTGATTTTTGGCCCAAGTCTAGGACACTCATCGTCAGGGGTCATTTCGTAGAAAAAGAGGAACAGGAGCTCATTAGTGTAACTCATTCGCATAACTTACTTGCATATGCCACACCCTCTGGCATCACCGGAAGTGTGTCAGAAGGCACCACCCACCGCTCAGGCTGCGCTGGACTGTTTTGGATTGCTAGCTATTGGGGGGGGGACGTGCAGATCTGTCCTCACAGAGGAGGGAGAGCTTGTACCTGAATAAAACCTGGTCCTAAAGGTGCTACTGGACTGTTTGGGGGCTGGGGAGGGGGGCTCTGCAGCTTACCTGGCTGCTTCTTGCTCTGACTGAGGGCTGCTGGGAGCAGGGGGCGGGGCTTGTTGCATGTGCCCGCCCCCTGGGCTCTTTACTGCCGGAGCTCCGCTCCTGTGCGCTCCTGCAGGAAATGACCCCTGCTCATCATTGCTTAGACAGAGACATGTAAAGTCCTGAAAGGTTTTTTGAAGCCTTAAGCAACTCGCACAGTTCCAGAGCTGGGACACTGGACCCAACTGCCTGAAATTCTCAACCTTAGGAGCTGTGGAATTCCTGAGCTCATCTGTGGGCCAAACCAAATGTTACCTCTGCCAGGAGTTGTTCCCTGGCCCATTTTCTCCTCCTCCTTTTTCTCCCCCTTCTCCTTCTTCTTCTTCTTGTTTCCCAAAAAGAATTATAAATTTGGTCACAATATTTAGAGTGCTCTAATAGAAATACATATCTCTCTCATCAGAAAACTACATTCCCCACACATCCCTGGGTTGAGAGAATTACACATTAGCTTACTTTTATAGTGTAGATATGCCTTAGGCATTTGTTACTGGAGCAGAGGTCTATAGGTAGCCATATCTCCTTCTTCTTCTTCTTGTTTCCCAAAAAGAATTATAAATTTGGTCACAATATTTAGAGTGCTCTAATAGAAATACATATCTCTCTCATCAGAAAACTACATTCCCCACACATCCCTGGGTTGAGAGAATTACACATTAGCTTACTTTTATAGTGTAGATATGCCTTAGGCATTTGTTACTGGAGCAGAGGTCTATAGGTAGCCATATCTATAGTGATATTTTCCATTTACTAGTTAATAAAAAAATCTCCAGGTAATTTCCAATCCAGAGATGGCAACCCTAGATGGTTCAAGTTAGCCTTTATTGGCATAAATTGTTGATACCGATTATACAATTGAAGAGAAAAATAAAAACATGACCCACAGGTGCATTTATCTCTCTAGGATCACTTGGCGCAGCTTTAAAGCAGACTACAGAAACTTGGCCACCTTCTCAGTGATGTCAGAGGAGAAGTCATTCGGACGTCCGTGTACCTTAAGTGCATCAGGGCAGTCCGTCATGCTGCTTAAAGTAGCATGTCAATATATATACACCTTAGATCCACATACAGGTGACAATGCAAAAGGACATGAGTCATCGACTTGACACATTTTTGTTTGCAAGGGCCATATCTGGCCGAGTGAGGTATCTTGTTAAATCTGCAATGTTTTTTTTTCTACCAGAAGTGATGTGATGCTGCAGCTGGTGTCACTAAAAAACAAACAAACCAAAAATCCCAGTAGCGCTGGCCAATGTTCCCTCTAAGCTGAGTTCGTGTGAGCTAGCTCACAGTTTTTTTAGCCTCTGGTTCACACATTTTTGTCTTAGCTCAGGAAGGAGGGCTCCAGAGCAAACTGACTTATGCAGTAGCCAAATCACCTGCTCACAACTTTCATGCTGGTAGCTCACTAAGTAGAATTTTTCTCCTAAGACTCCACAGCTTAGAGGGAGCCTTGCCGCTGGCCTGTGTGGCTGTGGGCAATCAAAGGAGGGAATTCCCACCATGACCAGGGACCTGGCAGGCCTGCCTGGCCTCATGCCTTTCTGTAAAATGGCTCAGGGAACTCTGACCCTACCCCTGGAAGACATAATGGTTAGTTTGACTATAGAGAGAAGCTCCTCCAAGTGACCTGAAGCCAGAGTCTTTAAATCGTATAAGAACTCACTTAAATCATGCCAATCTCCTCCTCCTCCCTCTTCTTCTTCTTCTTCTTCTTCTTCTTCTTCTTCTTCTTCTTCTTCTTCTTCTTCTTCTTCTTCTTCTTCTTCTTCTTCTTCTTCTTCTTCTTCTTCTTCTCCTCCTCCCTCTCCTCCTCCTCCTCCTCCTCCTCCTTTTTCTCCCCCTTCTTCTCCTTCTCCTTCTTCTTGTTTCCCAAAAAGAATTATACATTTGGTCACAATATTTAGAGTTCTCTAATAGTAATACATATCTCCCTCATCAGAAAACTACATTTCCCACACATCCCTGGGTTGAGAGCATCACACATTAGCTTACTTATGTAGTGTAGATATGCCTTAAGCATTTGTTACTGGAGCAGAGGTCTACAGGTAGCCATATCTACAGTGATATTTTCCATTTACTAGTTAATAATATTTCCTTGAGCTCTTCTGGGGTTTTTGCCCCTCTCCTCAGCATTATAGTAGGCGCCTTGGGTACTCAGATTCTGAACTCTGAAAATGAAAGGCCTCTACTGCAGCGCTGTGCAACAGATATACTTGCAAAAGTAGCACCTAACTTTCTTACGTGCTGTGCTGAGCATTATGACCTCAATATGTTGTTTTCCTTCCTTCTCAGAATGGTACAGGCATGCCAGTGGCTTGTTTGTAATGTCAAATCTGAGTTGAAAGAGACCGGAGTCTGCAGTGTGACATATGCAAACCCCCACCCCACCCGTAGCCAAAATTCCTTGCTTTCCCTTTGTTTGTTTTCCTTTTCCCTTTGATCAGAACACATTAAAAGAGATTCAGAGCGTTCCTCTGAGATCTGTAATACAGTCCCCGCCCCCATCTGTTATTATTTTTCTCCCTTCTGACTGGTGGTGGGTCATGAACACAGTTTCTGTTTGTCCAGGAGGTGAGCCATTCTTCCCCAAGAGCATGTCAGCATCCCTTTGTAAAGATCGCCCAAACCAAACAGCAATGAAATCAGTAAGGAAGAGATCCTCAAAGCAAATCAGTGCATACCTGGCCCAGCCGTTGGTGCCGGTGTTGGAGGTTAGGCATTTGGGAGTGCTTCTGGAATGCCTCCTTAGTGATGGAGGCCCAGGTAGCAGCCACTGCTAAGTCAGCCTTTTATAATCTTCGGCTGATTTGGCAGTTGGTTCCCTTCCTCAAATGCAGCGACTTGGCGACAGTGATCCATGCAGTGGCCACCTCAAGGCTAGACTGCTGTAACGCTCTCTACATGGGGCTGCCCTTGTCCCAAATCTGGTGCTTCAGCTGGTGCAGAATGCAGTGGCCGGGCTGTTGCTGGGTCTCCCCATGCGGGAACACATTCAGCCTGTGCTAAAAGCACTGCTCTGGCTGCCTATAGCATACTGGATTCACTTCAAGGTGCTGGTGCTAACCTTTAAAGCCCTTTATGGTCAGGGGCCTACTTACCTGAGGGACCATCTTTCCCCATATGTTCCCCAGAGAGCACTGCAGTCAGGATCCCAAAACCATCTGGCCCTTCCAGGCCCCAAAGACGTCAGGCTGGCATCGACTTGGGCCGGGGCCTTTTCAGTGGTGGCTCTGTTCTGGTGGAATGAGCTCCCTGAAGACCTCAGCGCCCTGCAGGACCTTTTGCAGTTCCACAGGGCCTGCAAGATGGAGCTCTTCCACCAGGCCTTTAGTTAAGGACCCTCGCCCAACACACTAAGGCCCTGTGGCCAGTACCACCACCGGCAGCCTGAGCTTTGCCAATTCTAGCATCAAATACTGACTACATTTACTAGAATGTTGATGCTACTTTGCTTTCGCCATCGCCATCGCCATTTAAATTGTTTACTAGCACCTTATGTCGTGTTTTTAAGCTTTTACCTATATTGTTTTAGCTACAGAATTTTATGTAAGCCGCCCTGAGCTTGCTTTGGTGAGGAGGGCAAGGTATAAATCAAATAAAAAAATAAAAAAATTAAAAATACCGTATGTTGTATTGAAACGACCACCCTACAAAGATCCCCTTCCCCCATGTTGATTCCAGAGCGCAGTTTGTTAACTCCGAAAGCACCTCAGGAACCGACAATTTGAAGACTTGTTGGATGTAATTATGAATAATGGAAGGATGGGTAAACAGATGTCTCATTTTTCGTTTCAGAGGGGAGCTCTGTTGGTCTGCATTAGAACAGCCAAATTCAAGTCCAGTAGCACTTTAAGAGGCCAACACGATTTTCGGGGTATACCCCAAAAACCTTGTTGATTTCTAATGCTCTACAGGGCTCATCAGGGATGCTCTAAGCTGATCCCACATTGAGCAGGGGCTTGGACTAGATGGCCTGGATGGTCCCTCCCAACTCTGTGATTTTTCTATTCTTTTCTGAAGATGACAGCACCAGAAACCTGTCGGCATCACCGTTCGAGGGGGTGTTGATACTATGTTAGATCTGCTTGAGTAATCATTGTGAAAACGGCACTTTAAACATCAGCTGAAACCTTGCTTTATTCTCAGGAAGAACCTTTTGTGATGGTGGCTGAAAATATTCTTGGGCAACCCAAGCGTTATAAAGGCTTTTCCATCGACGTCCTAGATGCGCTTTCGAAGAATTTGGGCTTCAAGTATGAGATCTATCAATCCCCAGATGGCAAATACGGACAACAGCTCCATAACAGCTCCTGGAATGGCATGATTGGAGAACTTATTAACAAGGTACATCTGGCGGGAACAATGAGGAATGATCTCTAACTTAAGCTTCTCAGTCGATCAATATTCGCCAGTGTGCCCCTTATCTAAATTATCTAAATTATAAGTATCATTTTTTAAAAAAATTGTTTATACCTTGCTTTTCTCCTCAATGGGAGACCCAAAGCAGCTTACAACTTCAGGTTTTATTTTATTGTAACTTGGAAACCAAAACTGGGAATTCTGTTTTCATAAAAATCAAAACCTGAATTGCAGAAATGAGGAAAGTGCCGAAGGTGAAATTTTCAGTGGCAAGTTCTACAGCTAATACTTTATGTCAAATGGTTGCGAGTTTGTGCAGCAAAGTTGTGTGCAGCACAGAATGAATCCCTGTGTTGCATGCCTAATTAAATATTTTCTACTTTCGGTTTCTTACTAAAAGCCACTCCACCATAATTTTCGAGCATCTTTCGTGCACTTTTTAAAAAGTAGTAATACTATTTCATAATGATCTGTTGAATCGTTTTCCTAAGGCGAAGTAATATCTTTTTTGCTTTGAAAAAGAACGACAACCAGGCTTTCAAAGTACAGAAAATGGGAAACAAATATCAAAGCGTTTGAATTGCATATAATTTACAGACTCATGCACCTTCCGGATTAAGTGAAGGCTGCTAAAGTGATGCAGAGCAGATTTCAGTGCTGAGTCCTCAAGAGTACAGATGCCAGAATGTATCTGGCAGGAAATATTACTTCATTTCTGATAGGGGAACGAGTGCTGTCATAACAATAGAATGAAATTCCTCAGGAATGGTCATTTCCCAGTAGTTTGCTCTCCCACGGTCTGCTTGGAAGCTTGTTATCTAGGGTTTCTGCTGCCAAAAGGTTTAATATGCAAATGAAAGCAAGATACAAGATTAGAAAGCAGTTATCATGATAATGCGCTAATGGGATATTCTCAATCTCTTTTCACCATTACAAAGCGCTCCAATATGCATGCATGTATACCCTCTTTTTGATTTTTCCTTTTTTTGTGCCAAAACCCTGTCTGCCCCCCCTCCAGCCAGGTGCAAGTGAAGAAGTGGGGAATCAAACCAGGTTCTCCCAGATTAGAGTCCACGCACTTAACCACTACACCAAACTGGCCCGCAACAACTGTACACACAAAAAAAATTGTCAAGATAGTGAGCCGTATTCACCATACCAGTCTGGCACTGCAGCGCCCATTCGAGGAAAGAACTGAAGCACTTGAAGGGTGCACACAAGATGGAGCAACCTAACGGCAGGGACCCATCCATGTAAAACTGCCCATCGAAGGTGAAGCCAAGGAACTCAAAGTCGGCTGGATGTGCCAGCAGGCAATGGAAGGCCGACATAATGTTGCATTTAGCTATCTTGGTCCCAGGTCCACAACAGTGCACAATGTGCACCACCCGATCAAAGGATGTGTAGCACACCAAGCACAAGTAGTCCAGTATTGCATCATTCACCAAGTACCCTCTTGGGTAGGACAGGTGGTGAATGAAGTGATACTCACCTGGAGCATTCTTAAGCACCACCCCCAGTGGGGAGACCTGCAGGTTGGGCACCAGGGGTGCAGGGAAGGGGCCAAGCCCCCTCCCCTCCCTACACTCCTTAACAATCTTCGCCCTGACCACTTGCTCCATCGCCTTGACCAAGTGCAAGTTTGTCGGCCCAATAGGGCCTCCTAGTCCCCTTAAACGGAATATGAAAGCCAACCATAAAGCCCTCCAACAAGTACGCCCGATCCACCTGGTTGGGGTAAGAACACAACCATCTCTTGAGCACCTTGACCCTAATTGGACTGGGCTTCCTTGTCAGGGGGGTCGCCTCCCTCCCCACCTGCCCTCTCACTGATCTCAAAACCCTCACCTGGGCTTCCTCTTGAAACTTGCCAATATGGCACTGGGTCCGGCACACAATGGGCATTTGTGCTTGTACTTGCATGCCTTAACGCCCACATGCTCTGTTGGCACTAAACTCCCAGCAAAGGAAACACAGTCGAACCGCCTGTCCCACTGGGGCACGGGAGCCTGAATCACTGGAAAGCTGCTGCGTGAGGTACCCACTGCCTGACCTGTCGTCCCCACCCAGTAGGCCATGCCGGCATCATCAGCCGCATCCACAATTGCAGATGAATCTGGTTCCAGTGCAAAAAAGCACAACATGCAAACGTGCCCATCGCTGAGAGAAGTTTCAAAAGCAGTTTTAATCTGGCCGTTAGGATATAGCCAAGCCTTTGGGTCCTTTCGATCCCAGCCATGATATGTACTAATTCCTTTGAATGAAAAATTACCCTATTATTATAGCCAATCAATACATGCAGCAAAATCATGTCCTGTGGGCAGGGCTCTTTTTGTAAAAAAAGTCCAGCAGAAACTCATTAGCATAATAGGCCACACCCAGCAGCTGAAACTTATTAGCATATTAGGCCACACCCCCTGAGTGCACCACTCATTAGCCTATTAGGCCGCACCCCCATGTTACCAGAAGTGCGGTCATCCAGCCACACCCACCTTTTGCTTCTTATTCTGTTTACCTTGTTGTCAAAACCCAGGGTCTTTTTTTGTAGCAGGAACTCCTTTGCATGTTAGGCCACACACCCCTAATGTAGCCAATCCTAATGAGTTCCTGCTGTTGGGTGTGGCCTATTATGCTAATGAGTTCCTGCTGGGCGTGGCCAACTTGGGAGCCAGCCAGAACTCCGTTCTTGTGCGTTCCTGCCCCAAAATAGCCCTGCCTGTGGGTATAAATTATCGTCACTTTATGCACCACTGTTTTCTTTCTTCATTCCTTGGCTCTACTGGCATGACCCAGAGGTTCCCAAACTTATTTGGTCTACCGCCCCCTTATTTGGTCTTACCCCCCCCCCCCCGGGAAATCTATCTTCAAGAAGTGGACAAAAAGATGCACCCAAGTCTCCTACCGCCCACCAGGATCATTCCAGCACCCCCTCCAGGGGTGGTATTGCCCACTTTGAGAACCAGTCGTGTGGCCCTTCTTCTTGCTTAGCAAAATCATGTGATTTTTTTTCCCTTTTCTTTTCTGAATTGCAAGTGATTGATTCTTATGCTTGAATTCTCTTGCAATTAGGGTTGCCAAGTGGCACTTAGCTTGCCGGCGGGGGACTCCCGGTTGGATCCTGGCGTGTGCGCACTGCACACACGTCACCAGGAAGTGACGTTATGATGCCTGGCATGCTGGGGGCGGGGCCATGACCATACAAGGGAAAACCATAGGGTTTTCCCTTGTATGGCCGTGGCCCCGCCCCCGGCGTGCCCGCGTCACTTCCTGGTGACACGCACGTTGGGGAGGAGTTCCCCCTGGGGCCCGATCTGGTGGTGCCGGGGAACGGGCCACTGGGGTGGGGTTGCCCCGCCCCCTGGGGGGACTTGGGATCCCTACTTGCAATCCTCCTGCCGTATTAGTAGCATGGCAGGGAAAAGGGATCTAGACTAGCACTTGCCTTAACTTGCTAATTTTTTTATGTAAGTGGAAGTATTTTTTTAACGGCATAGTACATTCATATACTCCTGTACCTGCAGTCAGGCTTAAGTAGTACAGTTCAGGAAAACTTGAGTGATTCTGCTGTATTAATAGATTACCTCTCGGTGCTGATCTCTTTCATATAAGGAGAGAAGGAAAAGAAGAGGAAAGAAAGAATTGCCTTCCAGTATGGTACAGCATTCAACCAGCCAGCAGAATCCACACTATAATAATCACTTGTGCTATAGGCAGGCCCGTAGCTGGAAAAAAATTGGTGGGGGACACCAGGGATCACGACGTCACTTCCAATGTCGCAAAAAAATGAAAATAAATAAAAACAAAGGTATGGGGAGGGGAGAGGGAGGACCGGGAGGGATAGGCGGTTAGGGGGCAGGGCTAATTTGGCAGGGGCGTCACCCTCAAATGCCCCTTTGGCTACGGGCTTGGGTATAGGCAGGGCTTTTTTTGTAGAAAAAGCCCAGTAGGAACTCATTAGAATAACAGGCCACACCCAACAGCAGAAACTCATTAACATATTAGGCCACACCCCTGACAGCACAGCTCATTAGCATATGAGGCCACACACCCATGTTACCAGAAGCGTGGTCATCCAGCCACACCCACCTTTTGCTTCTTATTCTGTTTACCTTGTTTGTGGTCAAAACCCAGGGCTTTTTTTTGTAGCAGGAACTCCTTTGCATGTTAGGCCACACATCCCTATTGTAGCCAATCCTAATGAGTTTCTGCTGTTGGGTGTGGCCTATTATGCGAATGAGTTCCTGCCGGGTGTGGCCAACTCGGGAGCCAGCCGGAACTCCGTTCCTGTGCGTTCCTGCCCAAAAATAGCCCTGGGTATAGGGCTGCCAGCCTTCTGGTAGGGCCTGGAGATCTCCCAGAATTATAACTAATCTCCAGGTTACAGAGATACATTCCCCTGGAGAGAATGGCTGGTTTGTACGATAGACTCTATGGCATTATACCACATTAAGTCCCCCCCTCCCCTTCCCAGGCTCTACTTCCAAATCTCCAGGAATTTCTCAGTTTCCCTAGCCAGACTTGGTAACCCTAGGTAAGTAAGGGACAATGTACAGCTTTCTGGTGCATTCTCAGCCATTTCCAGAAACATCCGTATGTCCAGCATGTTGAGGGGATAGTGATACAGTCTTAGAACACATAAGATGTGGCCTAGTAGAGTCCAGCAACCTGTGTCTAGTTATCCCTGCCTTCCTTTACGGTCAGAATCTTCCAGATGAATCAAGAGTTCCATTAGACCAGAACAGTGTTTTGACGGCTGTTTCTAATCCATTTGCAGAGAGCTGATTTGGCAATCTCTGCCATCACCATCACACCGGAACGGGAGAGCGTTGTAGACTTCAGCAAACGCTACATGGATTATTCTGTAGGGATCCTGATCAAGAAACCGGAAGAGAAGATCAACATCTTTTCCCTCTTTGCCCCCTTTGATTTTGCCGTGTGGGCTTGCATCGCCGCTGCCATCCCTGTCGTCGGCGTCCTGATCTTCGTCCTGAACCGAATCCAGGCCGTGAGAGCCCAGAACTCTTCCCAGCCGGGTGCCTCCCCGTCCTCGACACTTCACAGCGCCATTTGGACAGTATACGGGGCCTTTGTTCAGCAAGGTACTTGCTCGAGTGTTTGCTAGCTGACAGAAATGGTGCTGATGGCCATTGACTACTTTTCAATCTTGGAACAAAAGGCTAGACCATGTATTAACCTCCAGCAAATAATGCTTTGAAGGGTACATTACAGACCGTGTTCCACTGCTAAAAATACATCTGAGGAGACACAGAACACCATTTCCCAACACATAAAAACACACCCTTGTTTCTGTACACTTGGATGCCTGTCAAGGTGTCTTGGCTTGATTTATTTTGTGTTTCTCTCTTTTTCCCCCCATTTAAAAAGAAATGCCACATGTCGATACGCAAAGTAGTTATATCCAAAGTGCAATTCTCTTTCACTTACCCAAGAAAAGCTTGCTGGTGCGGAAAGTTGTAGATGTGAGCCATACCAATAACCCCAAAGAAATTACGCTGAATTTGCAAATGCCCATATAAAACTCCTTTAACGTTTGGAGGGTAGCTCTTTGATGGTTGGAGTAAACATGTTATGCATTTATTTTTTTACCATTGTGCTTTATTTTGTAAGTTTGGGTCATATTTATAATTTATATCTTTTGGTATTCTATTAATTGCTGCTAGCCAACAGGCAAGGTGAAAATTTTCTGAACTGACTTGAAACAAACTTTTGTTTTTTGGGGGGCTAAGTCAACCCCCCACTTTATGCCTGCTTGAAATCTGAGATCTTTTTGGTCTGGCTCTTCTTTGTTTGCCCCTTGCCGCCCCCCCTCCCCCATCATCGGCCCCGCCTGGCTAAGATTCTGCAGGACAGAAGTCTCTTACATAATTTAATGTGTGCATTGTTCAGTAAACAATGACGACCAAACAGCCAAGTCTGTAAATAATCTGCTTCAGAATCTGTCCTGTGTGCCCAATGGCTTTCTGAGCCAAGGTACATTATCTGGAGCATCCCATGGTATAGCTGGGGTACTAAGTGCTTCCCTTGAATGAAAAGAAACAAACCTGCTTTTCAGGGAGAAGATTCCGCCAGAATTTTTCTTCCTGACATGCAGTAAGTCACTGATTCTGCTGTGAACCTCAGTTCTAAGTGGAGCTTAAAGAATGGATGGGGGGGGGGCAGATCTTCCTTGGTGCTTAGGTCCTGCTGTCACACTCAGTGGTAGAAGGATGTTGCTCTGTTGCAGACCATCTGATCTGCCCAATTTCTGCCCCCCCTCCTCTGTAGTCTATTACACATTTCATATTTTCAAATTCAGCTCCTACTGAGGAGTGATGTTCACTGCAAGGTATAATTGCCAGTATTTCATTGCACAATAAAGGAAACACGTAAGAGCAGGAAAATTGCCTTGCTGAATCTAGTAGTTGTGCACCTGAGTTCCAAGAGAGGTAGGTGCCCTTTGGAAGTTGTCAAGCAGGACAAAATTGTGATGGCTTCCTGCTATATTTGTCACCAGATGTGGTAAAAATTATAATTTGCAGGGTACATTAGAGAGAGCTTCTTCCCCAGCTCCTTAATCTTCCCTAAGATAAAGCCAACCATCCTGCCAAAGCTAAGTACTTTTTAGTTCTGCTGATTTCAGAGGGATAGGTAAGAACCAGTAATGGCCAGAATGTTTGAGCTTGGACTAGGGAGACCTATGTACGGATCAGACCATGGAGCTCACTAGGCAATCTCGGACAAACCATTCTCTCATAAATTGACCTACGTCACAGGGTTGTTGTGACTGGTCAAATGGGATCACTGTCTCCACGTACACCAACTTGAGCTCCTTGAAAAGAAGGTGGGATGTAAATGCGGGAACTGGATGAATACACCAGTTGGATTAATAATGACAACAACTACAACTGAATGAATAATAATTGTCTCTGACTAAGGCAGATGAGATCAAAAAGTGCTTAATTTTGGCTGGATTGTGCCCAAAGTGTGGCGCAGATACAGTTGCGTTATTTCCCCCCCCTGAAACCCACTTTGGGTGTATGTCCTTTGAAGAAGGTCTTTGTTCATTACTCAGTAAAGATGTTTTCCTCCCATTTTTCACTAATTACACTCCGTAGGATGCAACTTGCAAGGTTGTTAAGCTTTTTTTCCCCCTGAGAAAGCAGCAAGATGCAAAACTTTTAATGGGAAACTTTGCCCATTATGTCATTGAGATGGTCGTCTGGTGGGTTTCAGAAATATAAAACACAAAGCAGTTTATGTTGAGCAACTGTCGGTGGTATAATCAAAGATCAGTTGCGTAGTTCAGGTGATTTTAAATTAAAGGACAAGCACAACTGAATTTTCATCATCCTAAAAAAACCCCCAAAATCTAAACTCCTAAAGATTTTAAAACAAAGAATAAAAAAGTAAGTGGCAAGTAATTAATGCCACAGTCTCTATTGCTTGTAAATTATTTTATACTGCTAATTAATTACAGTTAATTACACTACTTTGTTTTTCAGTGATTTATTTTGACAAGGTTTGCATAATTTTCAGCAGCCATTATGGAGATTCAAATTACTTACTCCATCACACCACACTTTTAGACTTAGTTTGCTGCTGGTTCTCACTAAAGGTGAATTCTTATGGTCACCTCCAGCCCAAAAAGATGGAAATTAGTTTTATTTGCAACAGGTCCAGGGAGTTGCTGCCAAAGTTTTCCCAAAATTTGAAATTAATATGGTTGTTTCTCATCATTTCCAAACTTTCATGGGACACCCAAAAGAGTTTCAGTACAACTAGAGGAAACTGTCTGGCAAACTTTGCACATCCTCTGAAATAAAATTTGAATCAACTTTGGAGGTTCCTCCTGTCAGGATCAGTTCTCAACACCAGTCACTTCGAAGAAAGGTACCTTTATTGAGACATTGATAGATACCATACTGGACACGAGCTATTGTTAGGACTGAAGTTGAACACACGAAGTTTACAGATACAGTGTGTTCAAGTAAAGACACTAAAGACACCCAATCACCCCACGGTATTTGCCCACCAGAATTAACGGTCAGCTACCCCCCCCACTAAGCACGTACCTCTCTCAGAGCATCCCTCCCGCCAAAACTAACAGTTACCTACCCCCCTCAGACACATAGCCTCTACATAGCAAGAAAAACAGAATAACAGACATTTGAGAATCCACTAAGGTGACAAGCCTCTGGCACATCAAAGAGAGAGGAACCTCCTCTCTCGGTGGCAGGCGAGCTATAAAATGCATAGGGACCCTGACACATCCTCAGGTTAAACTTCTGAAGAGTTTTGAGGGAAACCAGATGAGCTTCCATAATGTTTGCCAAATTTCTCAGGAGGATTCTGCACATACCTTGGATGAAATCTTCACTCATCTTAGTGGTTACTGCACAAATGGAATGCCCTGATTTTGTAGGGTTCATCAAACCATGGGTTGGACCTTTCATAGGTTTATGAGAAAAACAGACAGCGGAGTCCTCTTTAAGCGTACTGAAGGTACTCATTAGGCAGGAAAGTATAGGGCAAATGGTTCCACATATTCAATCCACTACCATTGTAGATTCAAAGTAATTAATTTGTTTTTTTAATGGGAAATCCCAAACAAAATCGCTTTGTCCTTGAAAATCAGCATATCAGGGAAAGACTTTCAATCTATTATTCTCCCAGGCTGTGACCACACACATGAAAAAATCCACTTTCAATCCACTTTTAATGCACTTTCAAACTGGATTTTACTGTGTGAACTGGCAAAATCCAGTTCAAAAGTGCATTGAAAGTGGATCGAAAGTGTGTTATTTAGTATGTGTTATTGCAGCTCCAGTTTCCACATGCAAGAAATGTTGGTGTTTTCTTTGTTGCCTAACAAAGTATTGTATTATGCAACTGACTGTCTCACCTGCAGTCAGAAATGGCAGCAAGCCCAGGACTTCTGTATCCTGGTGGTAATCCCAAGACCTCTGTATCCTGTGACCTGCCAGCATGTGGAGATTGGCTCTGTTTCTGGAATCCCTTGAAATGAGGGAGCCTGTAATCCCCCCCCCCCCCCGAGAATATCCAGGCACTTGCCAATGCTATGTCTCCTCTTCAAAAGCACCCACCATAATGATAATCCTGCTTCAGTCAAAAAAGGAGTGAAATCGTGATGCAAGTAGACAATGGGAAGAAGTCAGAGTTATGGTCAGGGCTATTTTTGGGTAGGAACACACAGGAACGCAGTTCCGGCCAGCTCCCAAGTTGGCCATGCCCAGCAGGAACTCATAACCGTAATAGGCCATACCCAACAGCAGAAACTCATTATGATTGGCTACAATTAGGGGGGGTGGCCTAACATGCAAAGGAGTTCCTGCTCCCCCCAAAAAAGCCCTGGGTTTGGACAACAAGGTAAAGAGAATAAGAAGCAAAAGGTGGGTGTGGCTGGATGACCACACTTCTGGTAACGTGGGGGTGCGGCCTAATATGCGAATGAGCTGTGCTGTCAGGGTGTGGCCTAATATGCTAATGAGTTCCTGTTGTTGGGTGTGGCCTATTATGCTAATGAGTTCCTGCTGGGCTTTTTCTACAAAAAAAGCCCTGGTTATGGTAAAGAGGCGTGTTAAGAGTCCTTTCCTATGCCTACTTTTCAGGTGGCGAATCTACGGTCAATTCCATGGCGATGCGCATAGTGATGGGAAGCTGGTGGCTCTTCACCCTTATCGTATGTTCATCATACACAGCCAACCTGGCAGCATTTCTCACAGTAAACAGGATGGACAATCCAATAAGGTAAGAGTGGTTTTCCATCCCACATCGAAACCTGAACTTAAAAGAAGTATTATTATTATTATTATTATTATTATTATTATTATTATTATTATTATTATTATTATTATTAT